TGCCTCTTCGGCTGGGTACTTCTCTGCAGAATCCTGTTAAATGTAGTTTTTCACCCGCAATTCTGCTTTTCATCGTTATTTATAAACTAGGTTGAAATAATGTGGACTGATGTCTTCAGCAAAAGCCTATACCGCCGATTACCGACCTTGTAACTCATAGTAGGTCTGTCTTAAAGGTTTGTAAGATTACTTCTATGGAGAAAATGATTAGGATTTTATGTTTTTAGGATCAAGTTGAAAGAGTGATAATTCTCAATGATAAAACAGGTCTCTATAAAGAAGCATTTGTTAACAAACAAGTATTTGTGACTTAAATTATTACATTGTTTAAATTAATACATTTTTAGCTAACTGTGTGATTTGTGATTTCTGAAATATTAACTTTAGACAGTTTCCTCTGATAACAGATCACTCTATTGTAATATGGATGGACTCGTGTATTTTCTGTAAAGCTGCTTTGAAACGATGTGTATTGTGAAAAGCGCTATACAAATAAATGTGAATTGAATTGAAGCATTAATTTATTGGCCTACCCTATTTGTGAAAAATGCCCATAACTAAAACCAAGAATTAAATAAATACAAAATAAAAATTTTAAAAATAAAATGACACTCACTTTTACCCTATTTGTGGACTAAAATAATGAAATGAAACAAAATATTAAAAAGACTTATTTATACCCTATTTGTGGACTAAAACAATGGAAAGAAATAAAATATATAAATATTAAAAAGACTAATTTATACCTTATTTGTGGACTAAAACAATGAAAAGAAATAAAATATATCAAAATTAAAAATACTTATTTATACCCTATTTGTGGACTAAAATAATGAAAAGAAATAAAATATATAAATATTAAAAAGACTTATTTATACCCTATTTGTGGACTAAAATAATGAAAAGAAATAAAATATATAAATATTAAAAATACTTATTTATACCCTATTTGTGGACTAAAATAATGAAAAGAAATAAAATATATAAATATTAAAAAGACTTATTTATACCCTATTTGTGGACTAAAATAATGAAAAGAAATAAAATATATAAATATTAAAAATACTTATTTATACCCTATTTGTGGACTAAAATAATGAAAAGAAATAAAATATATAAATATTAAAAATACTTATTTATACCTTATTTGTGGACTAAAACAATGAAAAGAAATAAAATATATAAAAATTAAAAATACTTATTTATACCCTATTTGTGGACTAAAATAATGGAAAGAAATAAAATATATAAATATTAAAAAGACTAATTTATACCTTATTTGTGGACTAAAACAATGAAAAGAAATAAAATATATAAAAATTAAAAATATTTATTTATACCCTATTTGTGGACTAAAATAATGAAAAGAAATAAAATATATAAATATTAAAAATACTTATTTATACCCTATTTGTGGACTAAAATAATGAAAAGAAATAAAATATATAAATATTAAAAATATTTATTTATACCCTATTTGTGGACTAAAACAATGAAAAGAAATAAAATATATAAATATTAAAAAGACTAATTTATACCCTATTTGTGGACTAAAATAATGAAATGAAATAAAATATATAAATATTAAAAAGGCTAATTTATACCCTATTTGTGGACTAAAATAATGAAAAGAAATAAAATATATAAATATTATAAAGACTTATTTATACCCTATTTGTGGACTAAAATAATGAAAAGAAATAAAATATATAAATATTAAAAAGACTTATTTATACCCTATTTGTGCACTAAAACAATGAAAAGAAATAAAATATATAAATATTAAAAAGACTAATTTATACCCTATTTGTGGACTAAAACAATGAAAAGAAATAAAATATATAAATATTAAAAAGACTAATTTATACCCTATTTGTGGACTAAAATAATGAAAAGAAATACAATTTATAAATATTAAAAAAATGTATACCCTATTTGTGGAGTAAAATAATGAAAAGAAATAAAATATATAAAAATTAAAGACTTATTTATACCCTATTTGTGGACTAAAATAATGAAAAGAAATAAAATATATAAATATTAAAAAGACTTATTTATACCCTATTTGTGGACTAAAATAATGAAAAGAAATAAAATATATAAATATTAAAAAGACTTATTTATACCCTATTTGTGGACTAAAATAATCATGAAATTTAATTAAATATAAAATAAATAAAATATAAGGACACTCATTTATACCCTATTATTTGGACTAAAACCAACCATGAAATTTAATTACATTAATAAAAAATAAAAATAAAAGGACAGTAATAAATAGCCTATTTATTGGACTAAAACAAATAATGAAATTGAATAATAAAAATAAAAAAATGACACTAATTTATACCCTATTTGTGGACTAAAATAATCATGAAATTTAATTAAATATAAAAACAAAAAAATAAGGACACTAAATTATACCCTATTATTTGGACTAAAACCAACCATGAAATTTAATTACATTAATAAAAAATAAAATAAAACGAAAGTAATGAATAGCCTATTTATTGGACTAAAACAAATAATGAAACTGAATAATAATAAAAAAAAATGACACTAATTTATACCCTATTTGTGGACAAAAATAATCATGAAATTTTATTAAATATAAAATAAATTAAATATAAGGACACTAAATTATACCCTATAATTTGGACTAAAACCAACCATGAAATTTAATTACATTAATAAAAAATAAAATAAAAGGACAGTATAATGAATAGCCTATTGGACTAAAACAAATAATTAAATTGAGTAATAACAAAAAAGAACACTAATTTATACCCTATGGAAAGTGCCTGTATCTAAACCCGAGAATGAAAGTTTGATTTGAATATGAGCAGAATAACAGAGATAAAGACAAGGAAGAGCCAAATAAAAATAAACAGGGAAAAATCAAGTATAAGTGAATGATGCGCCGAGGGAAACCGAGTGAGATCTTCTGTAAGGAAGAGGCATAATAAAGATCTGAAATGACCAGTTGATCTCCACATATGGTGCTTTGCATCGTTCATCAGCTAATGAAGGGCTTCTTCTTCACAGGTAGACTCATTAGCTCGCTCGGGCAGATGGTGGAGCGCGAGGAACAGGCCGGAGCGCTGTCCTACATCTGTGAGAAACTGCTGGACGTTACTGGACATCTGTAGAGGTCGACCACTGCGACCAGTCCGACCAAATCCCTGCACAGCGCGAGGAGAAGCTCAGGTGCAAACGGAAAGGCACTGAAACACACTTTGACTGCACTTTTATGACTTATATTATTTATTTGAACATGCTTTTTAAAGGTGATGTGTGCAAAAGTTCATTTATTTCAGTAATTGAACTTAAAAGGTGAAACTAATATATTATATAGACTCATTACATGCAAAGTGAGATATTTCAAGCCTTTATTTGTTATGATTTTGATGATTATGGCTTACAGCTTATGAAAACCCCAAAGTCAAAATTAGAATATTGTGAAAAGGTTTTCATAAGCTGTAATCCATAATCATCAAAACTATAACAAATAAAGGCTTGAAATATCTCACTTTGAGTCTATATAATATATTAGTTTCATCTTTTAAGTTGCATTACTGAAATAAATGAACTTTTGCACCATATTCTAGTTTTTCGAGTTTCACCTGTATACGACCCGTAATGCATAATGCCGTTCTGGTGCTTTGAACAGTTTATGAGGGTGTTTCTCTGTTATGATATGCATGTGCACAAAGCAGCATCCATAAAGACATTATTTTATAAATGATAATCTGGAATTATTGCAATCGACAAAGCTATTTATTAGAAAGAGGTTTCCACATATAATGCCGAAATGCTTGTTTTGAACTATTTCTAGTGGACTTGTAATATTGCTCACATCCCGTTGTGTTATAGAAGAGGACGAGTTTGCAATAATGGTGATACTTCTCTGTATCCTCGTGATTTTTAACTCTGTAAAGCCTGGCATATGAAATATATATATATATTATGTAAACACAAACTTTTATTTTGGATGCGATTAATTGCTGTTAATCGTTGCCCAGCACTTATTATCATATTTGATACTCCCAATTAAGAAAAAAAAAAATCAATTTAAAGCTGAGTTCCTTCCGTCTAGTTCATCTTGAAATATTACTAACAATATCAAAATTATTCTTACATTTACTTTGATAAAAATCAGTAAAGATTTCACAGTAATAAGAGCGTGTTAAAATCAGGAAACTAGTAATTTCCACTTTCCTATATCTGACTAAACACTATTGTCATATATATCAAAACCATTTACAGTATTACTAATAAAAAAAAATAAAAAATCATAATGTAGAATTGCTCTAAGTCATTGTCATCATAACCATCATGAATTTTCTATTTATTTACAATGGAAATGAGTGACAGTCGCCTTCATCTCGTTCAAAACCCGAATGACTGAAGACAAAAGACATATTTTCTGAGTTTTATTTTTCATTCTATAATGGAAGTCAATGAGTTCTAATGTTGTTTGTTTGCCAACATTCGTCAGTATATAAGAAAGACATCCAGGTTTGGCACAACATGAGGGCGAGTAAATGATGTTTGCAAACTTTATCCAAGATGAGAGTCGCTTTTATAGGTGTTCTCGTTCAGAAACTATTCATTTCTTTTTCATTTTATGAATTGGTAGAGGCCCTTATTAAAGAATCAGCCATTAATGTGTGTGATTATGTGGTGAACAGGCCTGTGGTGTCATTGCAGAACCAGTGAGTTTGTGAAAATGTGGTATTTCTTCTAGTTTTCCCTCAGTGCTGCTGTTATTGTGTTTTCCTCTTTTCTTTGCTGTGACCCCAGTGTTCTCCATCCATCTGTTAGTGGTAGTTTTGGCAGTGCCCTATCAGCACGAGTGCCAAATCTAAAGCACCTGTACGACTCTTTGCCAAACCATAAACAAACACGCCACACTAACTGCCAGTTTTTGTCTTTCAAGAGCAAAATAAGGCTCGACGGCATCAGCCAATGCCACTGATACAGAAGCACCGGACCTGACGCAGAGATGCTCCCCACTCGAAAGCGTCGGCCAGAAGCCGCCTTCCCTCGGGGTCACGGCGAGGTCAAGTTCAGGGATCTGACCCTGTACCTGGTGGAGAGGAGGATGGGGAAAAGCAGGAGGAGTTTTCTCTCGAATCTGGCCAGATCAAAGGGGTTCAGCGTGGACGACGCTCTCAGGTACGGCACACAGAACAGTACTCTCTGTACTAAACAGTAGCGGTGTAACGATGCCCTCATGTCACGATCCGATTCTGAACTCACGAGACGATATTATTGCGATTCTCCAAGACATGAGACAAAAAATGCACTGTTGATTAAAATGCAAAATTTGGTTTTACATTGTGTGTGTGTAAATGAATAGAATTGGACTTGGTGCTGAAACCCAAAGCACAGGACAATAGAGACACCAGAATAACAATATTCATGATTCTAAAGCTGAAAATACTGAATTATTTTAGACGAATATGCTTGCGCTCTTTCACTGACTAGATATATTTAAAATAATGTTGGACACTTTTTACTGGTAACATTTGGCATTATCAGGACACACAAATATCCCCCCATTGCATTATTATACACTATATTCAACATTAGTTTAATGTAGTACTGACACTAAAACTCATTTTTTTCTCACACAGTAATTTTAATTTTGGGTGAACTATCGACGGTACATATTGTTGCATTATTGTATTGCGATATATTGCGACATGATATATTGTTACACCCCTACTAAATAGTATTCGATATTAGAATTAGGTTCATTTACACGACAACGATATGCTTAAAACAGAGAAGTTTTTCCTTTGAGTTTTCCGCGTACAGACGGCATCATCAAACTGATCCCAGTTCACACGGATCCGCGGAAACGACTAAAAACGCTGTATTCTGCAGCCAGGCCATCAGATGGCGATGAAACGCCATAGATTGAACAGGTATACGCATGTGCATGACGTCATCGTGTTCAGAGATTTGCGTATTTGTTGTAATATTTGGAGACCGTTTTCAAAAACTTGCACTTGGAAACCCGTTTTCAAAAGTTTGCGTTTTCAGGCGCCCAAAACGCCGTTGTCGTGTGAATGAACGGCCAAAATGCATAAAGAGTTTTACTTTTTAAGTTGAACACGGTGTCGTGTAAACCAAGAGTGTCCCAAATCGTATATGTTGAAATGAGTGCTGGAATAACAGGGATACAGGGCTGCCAACTCTTACGCATTGGCCGTGAGACACACGCATTTGATTGGTTTCACACGCTCACGCCCACACTCCCGATTTCTCACGCTGAAGTGTCAACCCGGTCGGTCAAATGCCTGAAAGATGAGTTTATCTATAGATCTACCTGTTGAGCCACTCGTGATCGACTAATTATACCGCAAAATAGTTAAAATCTCCCGTAATCTATCTAGAGCGAGCGCGCACGCGAGACAGAGATTGTGCTTCAAACCGCGTAGAGCGCGCGCAACCTTGCGTGTGCAGAGACGCCCCCCGTTGGACAATGCCATCTCCATTACCTCCATTACCATATGAGTGCTGTCTGATACACTCTCAAAAGTATGTATCAAAAGTATGTTCACAAAAACAGTTTATACTTTAAGGGCATAGTATACCGTAAAACTTCAAATAGTAGCCCGGGCTTTTATTTACCCAAATCGTCGAACTGCACCGGCTTGTATTTGAGACAGGCGTCTATATGAGACAGGCCTTTATAATTTAGTGTTGAGATGTTGTTCATTGAGTGTATAGGCCTGTCTCTAATCTCTAAAAATCTCCAAATGCTCCACGTGAAACCGCGGTCTTCCGACCTTTTACTATCGCGTCAATTGATTTTGATTAATATGCGCGAGGGAGAGAGAGCAAGACAGCGCTCGTTGTTTGAAGACGGAAGAGTGCGCGCGCGCGGTCGGGGCGTTCTCTCTCTCTCTCTCTCTCTCTGCTCGTAACGCGCCCTGTCAAGCGCAGCAGTCCTTCTACTCTACATCACTCGCCGACCAAAAAAAAAGGCTTTGGAGGGACAAAAATGTGTGATCTGGCGATTTTAGAAGATTAAATACAACCCGAAACTAAAAAACAGACCCGGCCTCTATTTGAGACCGGCCTTTATTTACCCAAACCTGCAGCCACACCAGGCGTGTAAAAGAGACAGGCGTCTATTTGGGACTCGGCTATTATTTGAAGTTTTACGGTAAGTTGGCAAATTGGGACGCAGCAACTGTGACCTTTTTCATACATCAGAGTCGAGCACCAACAGTTCATTTTTCACATATACTGAACTTGGGATTCTTGGATGCTGTAAAAGCAGTTGTGTAAAGAAGAAACCCCATCCAAATATGCTTGGAAAAGGTTTATGGAATTCAAACCACGTGTGAATTCAGTCTTGCGGAATGACGCTAATGTCATTTCAACTAGTATTCTTTGCAATGCAAAATAAAAAATGATTTGCAAAGTATCTCGTGCAATGCATTAATTCCAGACACATGTTAGTGTCGTTCTGTGTTGGTGCAAATTCAAAAGTGACAAATGCATTAAAGCGTCTTACCATGACCAAACAAACGTACCGTGATTGTGCAAAAGACAATGAACCAAGAGTGAAAACACGTCGGCACTTTCTGTGTTTTTCTTTGAGTGGGATTTAAAGGAATAAACAAACAAACTCAAAGTCACTCAGATCCCAGTTGATCCCAGTAGAGATATTCCCCTAATTAAGGACAGTGAGTGACATACATCTCTCTGGCAAACAGTTAAAAGTTCTATTTTTCACTGTATAATATTTAATTTGCATACAATTTTATGCAAATCACAGGGATAATGAGTAGTGCAGCTGGTGTCTCCATGCGTTTCAGGACAGAAGGTTCTGATGTAGTAATAATAGCACAGAAACCATCTATTAAAACCTCGTTGTGCAGCTCAATAACTGTTGATTTAACATAATTAATCAGTCACTCTGAGTAAAAAACTGAAATTACAAGTATAGATAACCAGGCAAAAGTTTGGAATATTTCAGATTTTTAAAAATGTTTTTGAAAGAAATGACTCATCAGGGCTGCATTTAAGTATTAAAATATGTGAATATATGTTCAAATTTATTCCTGTGATCAAAGCTGAATTTTCAGCATCATTACTCCAGTCTTCAGTGTCACATGATCCTTCAGAAATCACTCTAATATGAGGATCTGATGCTCAGGAAACATTTATGATTATTATCGATGTTGAAAACAGTTGTGCTGCTTCAGATTTTTGTGGAAACTGTGATACCAATAGAAATGAATACTTTTATTCAGCAAGGACGCATTAAATTGATCAAAAGTGACAGTAAAGACATTTATAATGTTACAAAAGATTCTATTTCAAATAAATGCTGTTCTTTTAAACTTTCTATTCATCAAAGAATCCTGAAAAATAAATGTATCATGGTTTCCCCATGGTTTCAACATTGATCATAAATGTTTCTTGAGCATCAGGGGCCGTATTCACAAAGAATTTTATCTTACCACTAGGAGTACTCCTATATCGCACTCAAATATTTTAGCTAGGAGTTTTTTCTTAAAAGACAACGCCTTTCAGGCCGACTCTTAGTAAGGAAAAATGACAACTCCTAAACTAAGAGTGAGTCTTCGTTGCTATGGATGACGTCACTTCTCATGCACGAGCTTCCTCGCAGTGATCACGGTGATTGGTTGTTAGATGACAGGGCCATCATGCGGAGCATAACACAGACGCAACAAATCATGGAATTACGACATCTAAATATGTCTGTGTCCTACACAAAATAATAATAGTAATGTCATGGAAATGTATATATAATGACATGTTTGTGCAGGCCCCAGTAAAGTGTGATTCTAAAAAGGCAGAGAGAGAGAAAAGTCGTGAATTAAAATAAATTAAATCAAGGTAGCCTAGTGAAAACCGCCACTTGCCTAATAATGAAAAAACGCCACTTGCATTAACACTTGCTTGGTTAATTGACATCCTATTAGCCTAAATAGACTACTTAAAGCAAGGAAATGTTGCTCCTATTGAAGTAATGTAATAGTTGAATGACGGTGGATTATGAACTCGCCAAAACGGAAAAGAAAGCCCAACTGGACGCAGGATCAGTTACTGCTGCTGGCCCAGCTGGTGCTAAAAAACAAAACAACCCATAATAAAAGTGAAATTCGGCACTGGGATATCAAGCAAACCTAAGCATGAGACATGGGAGAGGATTTGACTGCGAGAGGCAGTGGTGTGCGCTACAATCCTTTGTGAATAGGTCTTAGTGAGTTAGGAGTCCTCTCGACTTCTTTTAAGCTGTCCCAGACTTAGCTGCTACTTTTAGGGCTAAAATGCTTCGTGAATTACTCTTAGTGAAAAAAATTAGGAGTCCTAAAGTTAGGAGTGACACGCCCATTATTTTTAGGAGTTGCTCCTAAATTCGCCAGTTAGGAGCTACTTTTAGCCTTAAAATTCTTTGTGAATACGGCCCCAGGTCATCATATTAGAGTGATTTCTGAAGGATCATGTGACACTGAAGACTGGAGTAATGATGCTGAAAATTCAGCTTTGATCACAGGAATAAATATATATATTCACATAGAAAACGGCTATTTTAAATTATAATAATATTTCACAATTTTACTGTATTTTTGATCAAATAAATGCAGCCTTGGTGAGCAGAAGAGACGTCTGTCAAAATGATTAAAAGTTCTGAATTATTTCGCACTTGTGACCAGTAATTTTCTGAGTTGAAATGCGCAAATGCAAGTGTGTGATATAATAAACCTGAGTGGTGAAGTGCGGTGTGTTGTTGTTCTCGGTCAGAAGTGATGGAGGGCTGCTGGTGCCAGTTTGTGCCAGTTTGTGCAGGTGGAGGAGCACCAGTGGGAGTTGTTGGTGTAGATGGGCATAACAGCACCAGCAGTTTCCCGTAGCGTATCGCGCCGTTCCCAGCTGAGCGATGGCATCATTCCCAGAAACACAGCTTGAGCTCGCGCGTCTGCAACCAACCACAGGAAACGCATCGTGATGAGCTGAAAACTGACAGTTTATAAGCCAGTGAGGGTTTGATAATACAGAAGAGTCTGATAATACAATGCCCTATAAAGATTCCCCGGGTATTACACAAAACGCAGAGCATGCAGTGATGAGGCGCACGAGAAAGACTGGAGATTAACTGTTAAAACATTTACAGGTGAAACTCAAAA